CCATAATTCACTTCCGTATATCACAATAGGACTTACATTGATTGCTATAAACTAACCTCATATAATTTCAGCCATCTCATGAGCTCTTTTCTGAGTTTGAAACAGAATTAATGCCCACCCTTGAATCCATGCTGCATAGGTAACATTGCCAATTTCACTAGCTAAACAAAATGGCAGGTTACTTGCCATCTGCTGACCAGATGTAGTTAAAAATTTGTCAGATCATAGATAAATAGTGCTCATTTAGATGACATGCTTTTCTTCATGGAGAATGTTTTTTGTTTTGTTTTAATCTTTTTAAAACCAGTCCTATTATTTAATTGTCAGACTGTCAAGGGAAATAAAACCTAGCACATCGACAGTAGGTGACAAAGACAATGATTTCTTATAATGATCTTTATTTACATTTGCAATATTGCTAGAAAAGTGAATTACAGTAAATGTCAAAACATAACAGTGTATGTGAAATCAATCATTAAAAATCAATTTGATTGTAAAATTCAAATAGCTGCTAACAATAAAATAAAAGATTTGACAATTAATGAAGTTTATTCGTTGTTTATAATTGTGCTCAAAAACAGAAACATTTCGCATAAACTTGAATCATTCAGCAATATTAAACACCATAACTGTTTGCAGAGAAGAGAAATGGAGGGTACAGGATGTTCAGCAGAAGGAGTGACACAGGATAACAAGGATACCCTGGTAATGAAAGTTCACAAGGCAGAAAAGTTGGTATGGAATTAAAGGACAATCTGGCATGCTGAGATGAGAGCTGCGTTCTGCAGTGGACTTTTTACACGTTGATCATACAAATAAGCTAGAACAGTCTTCTTCTTCACGTTTACTGGCTGTAAACTCCGGTGGAAAGTTCTGATTGTTTGTCCAATTATGGACTGCAGTCTTGTTCTAAAACCTGAGTGTTGTGTGTGCATCCGTTTCCCAGATCTGTTGTAAGCAGGCTGTTGGTTCCTTGCCTCTCAGACAGATTCACTCTGACTTCAAAGGAAGCTCCCAATTAGTCGACTTTGACATGCATTTTGTTGGCAGTGGGTATGTTCTTGTTTTCCCTATAATAGGGCCCCAGAACCCAAGAGGAAAGCCTGAACAGTAAAAAAGATTTACATTCAAAACTACTGACACATTCAGTCATTCACTGAATTACTTTGCTTGGTCAGTCCACTAAAATTAACCAGTCTGTCAATATGCTGAAAATCTTTATGTAGACAAATTGAAGGAGATGTAAACACAACCGTTAAATATGTTAATGCAATGCTTAAACCAAGGTAAACAAGTATTTATGAATATACTGGCAAATTACAACATGATGATGATGATGATTTACCATGCAAAATGTAAAAATAGTTTTAAAAGTCAGAAAAACAATACATAAAAAAAGAAGCAATTGAGCTTCTGGATTCTGCCAAGACTGATACGAATTATTAGTTTTCAGGATAGTGAATTACATTTTTGTGCATGCTATCTTTGTCTGGCTTTGCAAATGGAAAAATGTTAGGTTATTTGCTGTAAAGTTAGAATGAAACTAACAACCAGAGCTATTGTGGCTGTATAGATAAACCATTTCATTGTGATAAAGCTTACAAAAAATTTTCAGCTGATTTTCATATTTAGACTAGTCTGGTGATCTCTCTGGCAAACCTCTACACCACAAGGTAGAAGAGGAGCGACTAAGTAAGTAGTAGTCTAATCATTATTAGAACATATTTCCAGTATTTCACATGCAGACAGAAAATGGCAGTAAAGTTATTTATAATGCCCACATAATTAAAAACTAATAAATATGAAAACTGAAGAAATAAAATCATAATTAAATGCCAAGTATTAGCCAATAACAAACAAAAAGCTTAGCATTTAACCAATAACAAATCAACATGGTGAATGCAAAGTACATTCTTACAGGAATGCTGCATACTCATTGAAATGCACTGTACTCAAAACTGTACAGTAATGATACATAGCAGTGTTCCCCTAACTTATCTTGGTCGCAATGAAATAAATGTTCCGCGGCGCCCTAAAATAAGTAAAAGTATGACTATTCGTGTCTTCGCTAAATTATTTATGAAGCTTTCACGATATTTCACGGCGTGCCTGTGAAGAGGTCCCAGCTCCCCAGGAAAGGGCGGCACACAGTTTAGGAATCACTGATATATAGAGTGTGTGTTTAGAGACTGTATACTTTCCGAAATCAATTTTTTTTTGCACTGTAATTAAATTTGTGTATTACGTCATGTTTTAAGCTCAGTGAAACAGTTCTGAATATCAGTTCTATATACTGGTGTTTTAATAACTGATCTTAGCTATAATGATGTTTAACCATTGAAGATAAGAGTATTTATGGTTGACTGTGTGTTCCTTAACGGTAGCAGGGATTCAAATGTGGTTGTCCAACAAGGATGTCCTTTCCTGATAGACAAGTGCCTCATCCTAATTCTGTTAGCAATTTAACCAGTAGAATCGGTTGTAAACAGAACTGTAATGTGCAAAACAATACCAGAAATAAGACACACTATAGCGGTAAATGCTGCAACAAAACTTTCACGGATGGTGATTACAAAAATAGGATTGGCAATATTTTTAACATCAAAAATAACATTCACTTAAAATAAGCACCTTATACGAGTGGTGAGCCAGGCCAAAGAAGCTAATCTGGTGTTTTAATAACTGATCTTAGCTATAATGATGTTTAACCATTGAAGATAAGAGTATTTATGGTTGACTGTGTGTTCCTTAACGGTAGCAGGGATTCAAATGTGGTTGTCCAACAAGGATGTCCTTTCCTGATAGACAAGTGCCTCATCCTAATTCTGTTAGCAATTTAACCAGTAGAATCGGTTGTAAACAGAACTGTAATGTGCAGAACAATACCAGAAATAAGACACACTATAGCGGTAAATGCTGCAACAAAACTTTCACGGATGGTGATTACAAAAATAGGATTGGCAATATTTTTAACATCAAAAATAACATTCACTTAAAATAAGCACCTTATACGAGTGGTGAGCCAGGCCAAAGAAGCTAATCTGGACCCCCCCCCCCCCCCCCCCCACCCCCCCCCCCCCCCAGCATTGAAATAATTGCACAGGATACAGTGGAATTGAAGAATACACTGCAAATCATAGCTGATGTACAACACAACAGGATGATAATGGAAAAATTCTTAAAAATTTATAATATTCAAACCTTCCAGTAATTATCTTATTCATTATACATAAAACAATGTGAAGTGATATTTTACCAAATTTGAAGTGACTTTTAACATTTTACTAAGGCACTTGAATGAATTAACTAACTCATCCCGCCCAGAAGATCGTTGTCTGTGGCTTAGTTGTTGTGAACTTGCTTTGTAATACAGAGATGCCAGGTTCCATTCCAGCTGCAGGCAATTTAGCAACAGACCACCATTTCATTAAAAAAAATGGGGGACCATTGGCACAATAAAACACACCAGGAAAATGATGTTAGCGCTCTGGCCAAAATCATGCATTGCTTCAGACAAAAAAGAATTTTAAAATGACATTTCAGTCCAATCACACACATGTTCTGTCCTTTTCAGAAGCCTAAAATAAAAAAAAAAGTTTACGTGATAACTGTGAGAACAGCAACCTCATTAAAAAAAATATGCCAAGTTTTACTCTGAGCATCGAATGTCACCCAGGCTTTCTGCTGCATCAGCCACGCCAGTTTTTTAAATACTCTATTTAAACTTGCTGCACATGAAAATATAGGTTATAATGTCTTCATCGATGAACCACTTTTCATGGAGAATCAATGAAATATTTCTTGTTGTAGTCAAAGCCTTGTGGTGTTGGTCGCCATTTTTGTCCATAGCCTTCTTACACATGTACTACTAATAAAACATTTGCTTACAAATTATTAAGCAGGAGAAAACAAAAACAGTCGCCAATGAAGAAATTAAAAAAATGGTAAGCACAGTACTGGTAAATTACTTCATAGGACTTCAAAGAATCAAATGGTTTGGTAGCAAAAAAAATGAGCCAGCACCTAGAGTGTACTACATGAGAACAACAGGCTACAAGGCAAGAGGTTGAACATGAAAGAGATGGGTGGAGGGAATGAAACAGACATTACAGTAGCTCAGTGTGACATTAACACAAAGTACACAACTAGCAAAAGACAGGAAACCACACCAAACCCTCTCTGTGATCTTTTACAGCATAGGCAGCAGAACACAAGATGAAGAACAAATTCACACATTCTGGCTGGTGTTCGTAACATTAGAAAGGAAGGATTGAGAGATAATATCCTCTGACCTCTATTTCCGTCCTTTCTTCAGTCTTGAATGCTTGTAAATCTATTGCCTCTCTCTCTGCTTAAGGCTGTTAGGTGTCCATCGGTAAAGATATTAATTAGTTTTTTAGGATAGTGAGCCTAAGAAATCCAGAGCAGGTTATGGTGGGCATTTTAATCCTCTACCTGTTTGCTGGTCCTGATTCAGACCTGATTATATTTTATTTGAAAGTTCATAAACTATCATGACTAGGAAGCTAAGCCACTTAGGGACAGTTAAATGACGCAGGGGTTTTGTAACAGGTTCTCCTTAGCGTTGCCTGGCTTCTAATTATAGCTAAGATTTGCGGTTGTTCATCCAATTCTTGACTTTGGTCGTGTTTTAGAACATATGTTTTATAGATCTGGTTTATTTGTTTGCAGACTGTTGGTTCGTCAGCTCTTAGGCAGATGCATTCTGAATTTGAAGGAAACTTCTCTTATTTGTCACCTACTATGACATGCTTGTGAGAGTTGGAGATAGAGCAGGAGGTCTCTCCCCCCCCCCCCCTCAATAGGGCTTCTGAACACACATGGGTTCAATCTACATGATACATCAGGAAAAGATTCCATTGATTAGCTATCTAGTAATGAGTGATCTTTCTTAATAAGCAAACAGTTGTCTAGTTTGTATTTGTGTTTTCTTTTTTACTGCTAGTGACAAGCCAAAACTGAATTTTAGTCTCTCTCATTTAAGCATGGGACTCTCCTCCATAACTCTCACCATCATCCTCTTTGTTGCTCTTGACTTTGGAACTCTTCAAGAAGGACTCCCAGAGTTTTCTGATGATATCAGACACAATGATGTCATTAGAGTTGCGGGCAATCATGCGAAGAATAAACACACCATCATCCCGAAGATACTGATCAGCGAACTTGATCGCTAACTGCTTGTCATTCTCATCCTTGATCTTATCCAAGAGTTTCATGTATTTCTTAATATAGGCCACGCGATTGGAATGGAAAAGAATTCGCCAGATCCAGAAGAGAAAGTTGCCACATGTGCAGACAGCAACATAGACAAACCAGAACCAGAGGAAAATAAAGATTTTCTCATTGTACAAATTGATGGGCAACACACACTGGACAGTATACACCTGGATATTCTGCAGCTGACGAATCTCAAAATCACATAGGGTTACTTTGGGAAATCGGGGAGAATCTCTCCAGTTTTCATCTCTTGCGAGTCCATCAATCACTTCAAAGCCATACAAGCTATACCATCCTCCCATGAATGCATTGAGAAGGAAGAACTGGATTATAACATTGGAAACATACAGGACTTTGACAAAAATGTACAACCCTGTGAGATAAGCTCCATCACGTTTGGCACAGCAGAAACAGAGAAACCTTGAGACCCCCTGGCGTATGCGTACAAGGATATTCCAGCGGTAATGCCTTTGGGCCTCTAACCATCTGTTCATGTACAGTGCAATATGGCCGACAGTTTCATCTCTTTTTCCAGGTGAGCCAATCTGTGTTGCATCAGTCATGTTAACAATTTTGTCCATACTGATGCCTGATCCCCCATTTAACATTCTCCACACAAGTGATGGAAATTTGAACAAAAATGCCATGAACAAAAGAATAATGGGAACCCACTGATAATAAGTCAGCTCTTCGGAGTCCCTATGTTCTCTTTCAACTGGAATGGGTGTGTCCATTGCAATGTGATATGTATTTTTCACCCAGCAGAAGGACTTTGTATAAGCCACAAAAGCACCTGTGAAATGTGCAGGGCACCAGCATTCAATCGGACTGCCTGCAAACTGACCTGTCGTAATAAAGACAGCAAAAATTGCCAACAATATGACAGTATATACATGGCTGAGTCGATCTGCCCAATCATCATCATTGCTTGATGTTAGCTTGGAGTAGGAAGCCCAGCTTCCTAAGATTGTTGCAACCCTGAAAGACAAAGATAAAAGCAAGGGTTATAATGAGCATCTTTGGATTTTATTATATTCTTTACTCATTCATTAACTGGGTTTCCAGGTAGAAACTTATGAATGTATGATGCGTTCCAAGATAATAACAAGGGTTATAATGAGCATCTTTGGATTTTATTATATTCTTTACTCATTGAGTCCCAGTGGATTCAGCATCACAGGCCCAATGGATATTAAAGAGAGAAATATAAATTGGTGCATCATTCCTTAACTGGGTTTCCAGGTAGAAACTTATGAACATATGATGTGTTCCTTGGGGCTCAAAGAGTTAAATGATGCAAATAGTGGAGAATGGAGAAAGACAAGCAATGGCCTAATTAATTATATCTTTTAATCACCACTCATAACAGGCATCATGAGGGCTAATAGACTTCTTTGTATTCACTGGCAAAAAGTTATAATTGTTCATCCATCTCCAGACTCTACTCTTGTTCCACTTTACAGATCTGATTTATTTGCATGCAAACTGTTGGTTCCTTGAACTTCTGTCAGATGCACTGACTTTGAAGGAAGCCCAGCCGGTCGACTCTAATGACATGATTTTTTGGGGGAAGGAAGTTGGTCTATTCTATACAACGAGGCCCCAGAACTCACACAAGGAGGCTTATAGACTAACACATATAGAAATAAAGATAGACAGACAAAAACTTCATGAAAAAATAGTTGAAAGTAGACCTCAAGGCAGACAAAGAAGATTGTAAAGTGATAATCAGGTAGACATACAGACACTTGCAGTCACCAACTACAAAGATAAGGTCGGTCAGATGGATGAATGTAAGTGGGGTATATCTGCAGCAATGAACCTGAAGGGTTTGGTAGATGGCTTCTTACTTCCAACTACCTTATCAAATGCCTTAAACCTGTGGATTGAAGTCTGCAGCATCAAGAGGGATTATGGATTTAGAAGATTTTACTGTAAACAAAGAAATCGTTCTCATGGAATGATAAAAGCTAGTCAAGTTACTCTGTCACCGTCATTCATTACAAAGCTTCATAGCAGCCGTGGAAGCAGGTAATGAGAATTCATTTTTAATGTCTTAAGTATCTTTCTTCAGCACTCTGAGCCCACCTTCACTCATCTCTCTGGTTGGCTTCTCTTACCAGTTGGTAACATCAAGTGTTCGCAGGTCGCTCTGGACAGTATCTCTCCATAGTCTTCGTGGTCTGCCTCATGGTCTACAAACCATTCATCTCCCTTGTGTATACAGTGTTAACCTCTCTGTAATCTGACATTCAATATGCCCCACCCATTTCAACCCATTAGCTCTCAAGATGCAAATGATCAATGTTGATTTAAACAGATTATGAATTTTGTTGTTGCTTCTCCCTCTCTACTCCGCGCTGTTTGCATCTTTTGATGGGTAAAATGATTCAAAACTAGATTGTTGATCAAAAACCTGTAATAATAGCCTTCATCTCTTTTAGTTCTGCTCCAAGTTTCATAGCCATATAAAATGATTGGTCTTATCACTGTTTTAAATATTTATCTTGGTGTCAGCAGATGATGAAAGGCATAGTATACTTCATTTCCAGACTATTTCTTCTCTCAGTATGTTGGAGCAGTTGAAGTTTGCACCCAAATGTCTTATACGTAGTAAAAATTTAAAACAGCCATTTTATATATACTTGTACACTGTGTTGAGAACTGACGTCACAGCATGTGGGCTATTCCCATAGGTGATGTGCTCCCATCTTTAGCAGAAAGTGCAGAGTTATAATTCTGATGGTATCAGAAGCATTCCCATCTTATCTTTACTCTTGAGTGTTGATAAGTATGCACAGTTGTACAGCTGTGTCTTTTATAGGCACCATCCAGCCCGGCTCTCTAGCGAAGTTGGTTAAACCTGACTTTCGCGGCGGCCGGGTGACGAACTCCTTGTGGTCCGGGTTCACTCCCGGGGGTAGGCAGAAAAGCCACTTTTCTCCCAGATTAACAGTACCTATAATGGAATCAATGCCGAAGGGTTGCGATATCCATAGTACCGAGCCAAAGGGTTTACAACTCATGGTTTCTCAGTTCTGGATACAAAAAAAAAAAAAAAAAATAGGCACCACCCAAAACTTTCCTTTGTTCAATCTTAAAATCTTTACTATCTTTAGTTCTATCTGGGGCTTTATGCTGGAGATCTTTCTTGTCTGTGGTTACTATGAGGCATGATCTTACCTGCAGCAGTTTGAGCCTGTTTGCAGTACTTAACAGTGCAAGGATACATAACATACATACAGTTGTGGTTTCTCTTTTACAACACAGAATCCCTAGCACTGCTTAATTCTGGTTAATTTTTCAGCACCTTGTGCACTATACTTTTCCAGATGGTCTAATTACAATTTCTTTTTTTTTTTTAATTACCTTTTGCAAAGAACATTCCACAGCTCTCCTGTTAAATATTAGGTTAGATATTAAGCATGGCAGTTTTAGCCACTTTAAATACAGGTATGTCTTATTTATTATGACTATATGTCGGATTTTTACTGGGGCAGTCCTGGCCCTCTAGTCTTATGCCCCTTTTTAAAAAGATCTAGGAATCAGAGAGAATACAATATACATTTATAGCCATATCTTATTAGATTTCATAGTTTTAAATACTTTAAATGCCTGAAATGTGTTGATAGAAATTCTCATTGAAGCCGATTTTTTCCAATGCAGTTGCAGATTCTGGCATTGTTTCATTTCTTTGTGACAGTGTTTGGGTTGTAATAGCATTGTAGATTGAGTTAGTGAACCCTTCAACTCAAAGTGATTTAGGGAAAAATTTTTTTGGTTTAACTGACTTGCTTGAGATCTCTGGCTTTCAACTCAAAAAGTAAATATGATGTCACATTTTCATCTCAGGAAGTAATGGTCAATGTAGACTAAGTCTGAATGTAATCTCTCAGGACAGCTAGACAAACAAATGTTGAAAATCACTGTATCCTGCTTGTGTGTTCAGTGTTTCTAATCAGATTTTACTTTTTTTTTTTTTTTTTTTTTTAAATAAAGAAAAGGTCTCTGAGGTGATGTGGTGAAAACATTTTTATTCTGGGGATGGATTTTTGCTCGAAAAGGGGCGAAGGGAAGGGAAGGGGGTGCTCTATTGTTTGAAACTGTGATTATGACATATGATACTGATACTAACTGTCATACACCTCAAAATATTGAAGATACCTATCAGTGCCACGCACTCCCACAAGTTGAAAGGTAGCTGACAATGGGCATAGCAAGAGGGATATGAGGAAGAAGGGGGGGGGGGGATAGACAAGGCATGCATGAAAATACATAGCAATTATTGTCCCGTGTAAAAATAAAGATAAGTTAGTTGCGTATCCTACACAGGACATTGCAGAACCAACCCTATCATTATCAATATTATCATTTATTTTTTTTTTTTGCTGTTGTGGTTTTCCTAGGCAAGTTTACGTCCAGTAGTTTGCCATTGCGTTCTCGACGGTCAGCTGCTCGATACCACTGCCGAAACCAAGGAAAGGCGCAAAGCCCGCAGCTGGCATCGAACCTGGCACTCCGACATTACAAAGGGCGTTCGTAACGCCTCAGCCACAGAGGCAAATGACAAATGAAAATACAAGGTAGATAATTCTTTAAACTAAAAGTCGAGTCACGCAATACAAGAGTATCGGAACTTAGGGTCTCCGCCACGCCCCTTCCCTTAGAAAAATTGTGAGATAAATCATGGAAAAAGGGGGGGGGGGGTAGGGCCTCAAAATCTGTAATGAGCGCTAAGCAGCCTCTTTAACGATGTGCAGAAGTTTTATGTATGTATTTGTGTCTATACTGCAGCATGGATTTTAAAAAGAAGTTTGTACTGATATGTTTGAATTGTTTGACTTTTTGAAATCCGGTGTCCCATCATTCCATGCATGCAAATCAGTTGTCATATTAAACTATTAGTTAACCCATGCTGCTTCGATTCTTTGATTGACTGTATACTGTATTAATTATTACCATTATTATATCTTCAGTGTAACTAAGTTATTTTAGCTCTGCAACTCTAATAATTATAAGACAAAGTAACAGCTTATAAGATAGAACCAGTTAAAAGTAACAACTATCTACGGCACAAAAGAGTTCAATAGTGATAACTATATTCACTATAAAAGTGTTGAGAAACACAGAGGGTGCTCCCATTAAAGTACGATAAGTAAAACCACGTGACAACATGTGAACAATAACAGAAGTGAAATCGAAAGTTTTTTGCCAGCAAAATATACTTAAAATGCAATAAATTAGAAAAAAATTTTTTAAAAATGTATGCTTACGGCATTCTCAGTCAGAGACAAGTTGTAATTGTATGATATTGTTGGTGTCCAGGCAGCTTTGTTTACAAAGTCCCACTGTGGGCAAAATGTTGTCCGTTCACACCCTTGCCAGGGCCTGGTGTGGTCACTAACTGCTAGTTACACGTGTCGTGTCGTGTAACTACATGTGTCGTGTAACTCGTTTGCAGATAGAGAACTAGCCAAGTGCCTGGCCTGGCCATAAACCCCAGCCATTGGTCACTGCAACCCATCCATAACTAGAGAAAGCCAGACCTCGCCACTCAAGCGTTACGGGCAAATGTCAGCGGACAACGGTCAAGGTAAAACCGTGGCCTTGGTCGTGCAGACGTACGGCGGGAGTTGCTGGTCAGTCTTTGTTCTAAATGCTTATAAGTTCTATAAGTAAACGGTTGGATGGTGGTAAACCCGTTCCCACGGTTATCTGTATTTCGAACTGCCTGTGTACAGGAGTCGCAAAGAGAACATGCAAGGGGGTTGGGGTTTGGACTCAGTTTCCTGT